GTCTTTGATTGAAGTATCATTACAGATATCTCTCGACGAATCAGATTTGACCATGTACCATGATGGTGTTATTTTAAACACTGTATGTGTACAATGCTGAGGCAGTAGATAATTAAGTTCAATTACAGCAACGTAGGTGATTCATGTGATGAAAATGGCAACAGTAAATACTGAAAAAGTGATTTCAGTCGTTGACGACGTCGTTGTGTTTCAGAAGGACTTTATTGTTGACAAGGTTGAAGGTGCAGGGGAAAACCAAGTATTGTCTAGTCTGAGAAGCACCCATACGTCAATTCTGTGGCATGCGGTTTTAACACTATAGAAAGACCTCAAGAATTGACTTAAAGTTCTCAGTTAAGGGAATTATACCTACAAAGAAACACTGCAACTGGATGCCGTCCTGGACTAAGACTAAATTGTTGAAATAATAACATCGGGAAACAAAGCCTAATTTACAGCTTTCTTCTGGACATTTTCACAAACATGGAGATACGTTGGACCCGGTGTTTTATAAGTGTGTTGGTGCTTAATGTCAGTGTGTGTCATTTCCAGGAATGTCTTTCTGACAATTCTGCTTTCATAACTGGTGTTGGTGTACACCTTACAAGGTAGATGTGAGAACAATGAGGACAGACTACAATACGTCCCACGTCTACAGTGGGTTCGAGGGACATTTACCGTTTTACATTTGTCCACAAACCATTTGAAGACCATCCACAAGTAGTACCTTTCAAAAGCATTAACTTCAATACTCCCTACATTTGCTGGATCTTTAATCACAATTTGCACATATTTCTGCAGGTGCCTTTGCAAACCTAACTCATCTTCTTTACCTGTATATGACATGATAACCCTATCGCGTTAGCCGAAACCAGGTGAGAGCTTTTCATTCACTTCCTAGTGTGTTTTTGAATATCTGTATTCTGAACAGATTAAATATCAGTGACGCCGGGTTGAAGGCAGCTTTCTTCATGGTCTACTGAACAAAGAGTCTCACTGCAATACATCTCGCCAAAATAAACTGGACAAATTTGATGTTACTCCCTTTGTCTCCTTCAAAATGTTGACTTTTTAAACCTTTCAAACCTTTGCTAATGCAATTGAGTGGAAGAGGATATCATATGATTCTAAGTTAGATATTTGCAGACTCTAATTCTTGACCACAATAACTTAACTGGAAATACCCATAATGTACGTGGATCATCCTCAAAAGCCCTCGCTTTCCAAACCTAAAGACGTTAGCGATAAACTATAACCGCATCTATACACTAGTTGCTGCAAATTTTCATTGCCTCTAGAGCCTGACAAAATTAATCATCATCAGGAAACGTACTTAGAATATCAAATGTTCTCATTTCAACGCGCGTATAGTTGGGCGAAAGCTTCGATTATATCTCACAATAAAGCAAATCTTTACAATACAAGGACAGGTATTCAACCCAAACCTCTTCAAATCTAGATTCACCCCATTCAAACATATACTATTTCAATACATCCGTATTTTTTAACTGCTGCACCAGGATCAAGACAATTAATCTCTCTGTGTGATTTTAGTAGGTGATAAATATTTCTTTAGATACCTTCTCAGGAGAGCAATGAACACAATGGAGTCATTCACTGCAAACGTTGCGGGTTAAGACAAATACCAAGCGTCTTTTTCAGAAATGGACAGACTTAAAGACGCGCATCTAAGTGAGAACTCTCAATACAAGACATCAGAACAATTTCTTTGACAGCAATCACCACCTTCGAAATTGTCCCTGCCAACAATTCCATTAAGACTCTAAGTAGATTAGCTTTTTCCAATTCGGTGAAAAAGAATTACATCATGTACATCTTGAAAATAATCCTTTTGTTTGTAACTGCATGATTTATTTTGGCTCAAGTACTGGCTGTTATCTGAGACAACGAAATTTTCAAATCACCTGTCTAAATATACATGTTCAAACGCTCCTTTTCAAGGCAAGAATCTTGTGGATATAACGTCTATTAACGGTTCAGACTGTTCCAGAAACTCGCAAAGGGTTTTCCATCGTGTACTGCATCGCTGGGACTGTGCTTATTGCCTGTGTTTCTTTGGCTTGGGCTACAGATTCAGACGGAACATTAGGTACGGCTGCTTGACGTTCAAATCTTCATCTTCAGAATCTATTCCTCTTCTGAGAAACGATGTCTACATTCTGTACAGCGATGAAGATTATTTGTGGGTGAATACGAAGCACTGGACAAGTTAGAAAATGAAGGAAAGCAAAAGTATGCTTCCGCCAAAGAGACTTTAACCCCAAGAAATATGTGGTTGATAATGTAGTGACAAACCTGAGACGCTGTAGAAAAGTCATTGCAGTTTATCCAACAGCTTCTTCAAGGACCGAGCTTCAGCAGTTCGAGATGTCCTTAGTCCGGAAGCGTCTTGAGCGTCACAAGGAGATGCTGGTATTGGTTCTTCTAGAAGACATTGAGACCAGATACATGTCTCATTCTGTCAACAGTATGATGCAGGCCTGTCTAACTATCAAATGGTCAGAGATGAATGATCAAAGAGATGCTTTTTTTGGGGAGCAACTAGTTAACGCATGTGTAAAAAATGATTCTTTGGGATGAGTGAAAAATGGTCTGTGGGTCAGGATTCTCCAGTGTTGTGTATAAACATTCCATGGACATGACATTTTCCAATGTGAATTCTCCATTTATTCAGTTCTGAATCGGACCCGTGAATAGCCGGGATAGTATTGGTCATGCTTGTTGTAAGAGGCGACTAACTGGACTGGGTGGTCAGGCTTACTGGATGGTTGACACATGCCATCGTATCAGATCGATGTTCATGTTGTTGGTCACGGATTGTCTGATCCAGACTCGGTGATTGACAGACCGCCTCCATATAGTTGGATATTGCTGAGTGCGGCGTTAAACAACAAATAGTTCTGGATCGAAGTGGTTAAAGCGTTGACACTCCCACTACTTCTAGTGAGTGAGTTATTATTTAACATCACATCGCCAATATTTCAGCCATATCGTGACCCCACTTCGTCTACTGTGTACAATATGTGGAGCCAGTTTCTGGTGTCCCAGAAGTAATATTGGTGGAAAAGCGGCGTAATTCCACTCTCACTTCGAAGTGGATTAGTCAGATTTATTGTTGAAATAGTTCCTGTTATAACATCACTGCTTAACTTACGTTTTCTTGCTACCACTCAAATTTCACTGACCTTTGCCATGTATACTATTGTGAAGTTGTGCCGTTCAATGTAGCTTGTAAATTCAGAGCTAGATGTGTTGTTGTTTTAATTTGTTTTTAATTTAATTTTCAATATTTCGATTTCATTCGTTCCATTATCCATTTTAAGGTCACAGAGAGCGTATTCTATGATCGATTTACGGACATATATTACATATATTACAGCAAGGAGGCATTTTGTGCTTTATATTTCTGGCTCTGTCACAGGTCATCATTGATTATTATCGGTTATTGAACCCAGAAGGAACCTTAGTCTGGTTACCACCTTGGAACAGTTTGTTCATGTAAGGTAGACCAGGCATCTTAAAAGGCTTGTAAACTTGATGGTTTCAATTTCTCCTTAAATTTAAAATGTGATTGTTTGTGAATATGTAACGTTGCTGTAATATTGCCGAAAGGGCCGTAAAATCGTAGTTGCTCTGTCGTTCAAATCCCTGTGAACTTTGACATTGTTTGATATTATTTTATTAATCTTTCACTATTTGTTTTGTAAGTATGCAATTTGTAAATAAACTAAATGTAATCAAATCTGCTGATTTTACTCAAATGTGGTTGGGGGCACGGCTGGCTCTATCTTTTATGGCAACACAATTGACTATGCAGAATTGCGTCCCTTTGGCGGACGCGAAACCTGTGATCGTGGATTAGTTCGAATTATCATTGTTATGGCTTTTAGATTTACAGCACAAGACAATGGCTCCTGGGTTTCAGCAGTGTGGGAAACGTCTGAGACCTGCATGGTTTTAGACTCTCCTCCAAGGTCAAGCTTACATGTCGTGGTATAACTGGAATATTGTGTTCAACGGGTGAGGTGATGTGAAATTGGGTTTAACGTCGTACTTGAGAATATTTCGCTCATTTGACGACGTGCATGCGTGTGTATGTGTATGTGCGGCTGCTTGTACTAGCCCAGACTTAAGCTGGTTTTATAGTGCTAGCCCACTGAGATACCATGCCACAGTGAAGCATGAATACCCCACTCAGACACATTATACTGACTCCGAGCCGACCAGTCCCTGTTGTACCCATTAATGCCGAACGCCAGGCAGGGACCAACAAGTACCATATTTTAAAGTCTTTTGGTATGACGCGGTCGGGAATCGAACCGGCGACCTCCCGCTCTCCGGGCGGACGCTTTAACCACTACATCACGGAGGCAGTTTGTGTACAACGGTGATACACTCATTCGCTATATAGTTTGTGTATTACCTGTCAAATATGGGTGGGTAGTCTTGTAGTCAAAGCGTTAACGCTGAAGACCTGGGTTCGATTCTCCAAATTGGTACAATGTGTGAAGCTCATTTCTGGTGTCCCCTGCAGTGATGTTGCTGGAATATTGCTTAAAGCGGTGCACACTCACTCACCCCTTGCCAAATAGGACTAAAGACAACAGAAGCGACTAGCCCGTAGAATCAGCTCACTGTCGAAACGTGTCTTAATCATTATTCCTACGTTTCAAGTGAGTGAGTGAGCTTAGTTCTACAATGCACTCGGCAATATTTCAGCTATATGGCGGCGGTCTGTAAATAATGGAGTCTCGACCAGACAATCCAGTGCTCAACAGTATAAAACCTCGATCTACGCAACTGGGATACGATGACATGTGTCAACCAAGTCAGCGAGCCTGACCACCCGATCCCGCTTGTCACCTCTTCCGAAAAACACGGGTAACACATCCGTGACCAACTCGTGTTATTCTGGGACAAGTGGAGGCATCGCACATTGGCGCATGAACATCAGAACTACTATAAACAAGAACGATGTCTCTATTCCTGTTCGATTCCAATGGGACTTGATATCACCGAAGCACTCGTATATTGAACCGATATCTTTGTTTTCGTTTTTAATTATTCATTAAAAGAATTAAAACTAAGAAACGAATGTAACAGCGGTATCGGTTTGAATTCCGTCAGCAGAAACAATGTGGCCAACAAACTTGACTTGTTCCTGGAAGAAATCACACTTCTTGGCTGCTAACTTGAGTCCACTCTCCCTCAGGCGCTGAAAGATCTTCTCCAGGCGTAATAGATGTTCTTCGAAGGAATCCGAAAACACAATCAAGTCGTCGAGATAAAGCATGCAGATCTCCAAATGCAGTTCCCCTAGCATGTGTTCCATTTGCCGCTGGTAAGTTGCTGGTGCATTAACTAGTCCAAAGGGTAGGCGATTGTATTCATAAAAACCCAATGGGCCGACCGTAAAGGCTGTCTTTGCCTTGTGCTCCTCATCAATCTCAATCTGATGATATCCGGACTTCATATCCAGGACAGTAAAGAATTTTGAGCCAGCAAGACGATCAAAAATATCTTCTATTCTTGGTAAAGCATACGCATCCTTCACTGTCCGACGGTTTAACGATCTGAAGTCAATGCATAGTCTCAGAGAGTTATCAGCCTTGCGAACGAGGACAACATTAGAAGCCCAAGGACTGTGTGATCTCCTGATAATACCATGCAAGCAGCTGCTGTAGATGATCCTTTACCTCTTGGAACATCGAAGGTGGGATGCGTCTATGTCTCTGCTTGAATGGCGTATTATCTGTAAGTTCAATTCGGTGCTTCACTTCGGTATAACGTCCAATATCCAGGTCCCCAGTCGAGAAAATGTCACTGTATTTCTGCAGTAAATCTTCACCAAGTTTCCTCTGTTCCTCTGTGACCTTAGGAGAAATCTTGACCTTGTCCAGGGGGTGTTCTTTCTTGTCAGCTACCACCTGTTGCAAGTCGAATGGGGCTAGCTTCTCAATATGAACTGGCTGAAGTTCACAGATGATGGACTTGGGGGATACAACTACTGTCTGATTAGTTAAGTTGGAAAGCTGAACTGGTACTTGAATTTTCTTCTGTTGTTGAAAACGGAATAAAGCTGGTGCTATCTCAAGTCCTGGTGATATGGAAGCTCTTTTAGTGGGCTGAATCATGACACAACTGTCTCGGTAAGGCAGTTCCTTATAGACTGATGTCCTGCCCGTCACAGTAGTATTAGGTGGTACCACTAATCTTGATGTTTCACAGCTTCTCATCAGTCCTAGTCTCCCATCATTCCTAATAAGTACTTTATCCTGCAGAACAATACACCTAAATGCAAGATACCAGGGTGTATGCATCTTGCTACTGACTGAAGGAAATTAGGGTCCAACAGACTCCTGCAAGAGTCAGAACAGGAATGAGATAGTTGGTTCCCAGCAAGATAGGTACAGTCATATTATACTGACTGTCTGGGACAACCAAAACAGACAAGTAGAAGCATGACCAGGGACAAACCATGAGTTTCAACTAAAACTTCAACATAACCCGTGTAAGGCAAACATTCACCATCTGCACATTCTATGTGAATGAAGTCAGAAAGAGGCTTTTCTCCAAGGAGGGTAAATATTCACGATAGAATCTTTCGAAATGGCTGATACTGATGACCCAGTATCCAAAGGGCTTTGTTGGAAACACCATTGATGCTAACCATAGCTTCATTTGCAGTCCCAACTAAACCAGCTGGTATGGTAGGACACACAAACTCTGTGGGGCTCTGTCTAAAAGAACCTAATGTCTGCCCTTGACATTGGCCTCTCCCATTTAAATTACCATGCCTCAAGTGGTCAAGCCTGACCCTACAACCCCGAGAAATATGGCCATACTGCCCACACCTGTAACACTGTACACGGGATTGCAGCTCAAAGTCTTGAGGCTGTTGTCTTGTCCTTTGAAAATATTCCTGGTTCCGCGGCTTGGGAGTGGTGTCATCAGAAAAAATAACTTGTTTCTTCTGTTGCTGTTGTAAGTGAGGGGATGACATCTGGCTCATCTTGGTCTCCATGTTGTCAATCTTAGCAGACAGTTGGTTGACCATACCAATCAACATAGATACCTCTGACGTTGAATCACTCTGGGTCACTGCCTTGGCTGGGATGGGTTTCTTATGGGTCTCCAGTTTCCTCTGTTCATGGTCGTGCTCAATACGTCTCACGGCAACCCGAAGCTGGTCGAAATTATCAATACTATCAAACTTGTGACCAGAAGAGTCCTTGAGTTCCTGCCTGAGTCCAGACCAGAAAACAATCCTGAGCACGGGGCTTGATCTGCTCGGCTGAATATGACCCTGAGCAACAAGCCTGTCAAGCATGTCTTCCAGTCTACAGCCCCACTTAGTAGCATCTTCTTTGTCTCCTTGCCTTGCACTGTAGAATTGTGCCATGAGCTTCTGCCTTGTTCGATGACAGAAGAGCCATATACACTCTTAAGTTTGTTTAGAATGGAAGTGAGTGAGGCTGCATGACCAAGCCTCATAACAATGCGTGCAGCATCTCCTTTAAGAGCTCTCCCGAGTGACTGCTTAATCTCCTCCTCAGAGTAGGATAAATCAGTTGATAAACTGTCAACTTCATACAACCAAACATCAAAAGGTGTCTCACCCTTAGAAGTAGGATCACCAGAGAAAACAGACACCCGAGGAGGTTGCCTGACGCTGAGTGAACCTGCCAAATTCTGGGTGGGTGGAGTTGGGGGCGAGGGAGAAGGGTTTGCAGTAGCTCCCTGAATAGCCACCATGCCGGTTATCCATTCTCTCAGGTCCTCTTCAGTCTTGACTTTAGGTATAACACCTAACTTCTTGAAACTTTCAAGAAAAGATTCAAGCTCTGAAGAGGATAACTGAGACATTGTGCAATTATCAACTATCAAAGTATGCAGTAAAAGAAAATATGAGATCAAAAGGATGATAAGACATCGTAATTAGACTGATGCAGCACCAGGATGCAGGGACAAATCCTCACGTAAATTGTATGTGAGCGCAAACAATGAACGAGATTACACGTTGGGTAATTTAGATGTGTCTTATGACACAATGTAAAGAGAAGTAGCTGTAAACTACATGTTGTATGATTGAGGCAACATGTATTTACATGGAAATTATGAAGTACCACATGTTTTAACGGTGGTGGTATTAATGCTTATAGATTAGTAAGGTATTAATGTGAACAAAGTTGCTAACCCACAATTTATGCCACAAATATATGGTTCTACCCCAAATACACAGAGACCAAAGGACAGAGATGGGACAGGAGAACCAAGATGTGTGGTGCTGTACCTTACCAAACAAACCCATGTAATACTAACCACTATTGGATATAAAGGAGGTTAGGAAAGTACATACTTACCCAGAAATCAACAAAGTTAAGATATCAACTTACTCGGCAATAAACACTTTTATGGATTATCGTGTTAACGCTTAATACCAAATTCGATTACTAAGATGGATTAAACCACCGTAAACTAAACAAGAATAAGTCTACGTGACAAAATATACAAATTATGACAATCGGGAACTAATCAGGGAAACTGACACTAACGAGTATGTTAACTAATTAATCTAAACTAAGTGATCTAAACTAATTAATCTAAACTAATTGATCTAAACTAACTAATCTAAACTAAGTAATGCAAACTAATTAATCTCACGTGAGAGATGACAGCATATGCTGGCTAAGTATTATGGCAGCAGGAGATACAGAAGAGCTGCAAATACTTTACGAAGTCGCAGACTAGTCAACCAAGGAATATGTATTCCGTACAACTGATGTCAACGTCAAAAAGCTTATTGTTTACTAACACGGACTGTATTAGTACATTTCCACCAATCTTCAGATACAATCTTCAGATTCAAGTGAATAAACAACTTATTCCATTATGAGCTCATAGTATCAACAACTGTGCTCCGTCTTTCTTCAGTAACTAGGACACAGCTTAAAGATACTGTCATTGGGAGTCACCGATCGGCCATGCTGAATGGACGTCCATGCTAGCACTGTCAACTTTAGGGGTCGAGCTTTGGGCTTCTCCAACAGACAAACTTGAATCCCACCAGGGATGCCATTGTAACAGCGGTATCACGTCATGATTTGAGAACAGACGAATTCTTGTGAGGGTTCAGGGATTTATTGTCTTGGATCAGGTGATAAAACCCTTGAAATAAAACAGAAACATCTCAAATTACTGGTATATAGTAAACATATAATTACATTTAATATTTTCTGCACACCACAAGGGTTACTCAATTTAAGTATAAATATAAGCTTATCTTACAAATTACAGACATACAGATGAAAATCTGATATGTAACATAACATTTAGAACATAACCCATGCATTTCCTTGACACACAAATACTAACCTCGTCTCAGGGACGCAGGTAATCCAGTCTACCGGTAAACAACCGGTGGCAAATGAGTACTTCAAAGACCTAATATAATAAAATAACACAATTAAATACAATCTATATTACACACACACACGCACACACACATGCACACGCACACGTACACTCTTTCTCATGTCATCCATAATATGTACCTAATCTACAATGTATACACTATAGTCTACATTAATTATAATACATAACAGTGTGTCATGATATTAAGCATATAGAATATTTACATCATATCATCATGTAGATGATATTACAGCACATAATATATTTCAGACATATTATTAAAATGATAAATTAACTAGACTAAAACATCATATCCTAACCTCCTTATGATAATATAAATACCAAGACATCTAAAGTAACTTACCCCAATAAGTTCAGTGCTGTGATAAAGGAGACAGAGTTGGAATTGTTGCAGTCAAGAGTTGAAATTGTAGCAGTGACCAGGAAAAAGAATGTTGGGGTACATAAATATCCAGATCTGGTCACATGCTCTAGAAACAATAGCAAATCAATCACTGGCCAAGCCGTGGCTGGACCAGGAGTCTGAAGTAAAATAGAACCCAATGCAGGCTTACATAACTTAACCAAGGGATTAGTAGAGTGCTGTGTTAATTCAAAGGGTTGTTATATTGCTTAACTAAATTATATCCTAGGTTTAAAATACACAATATTTACATTCTGGTACACGAATACAACAAATAGAAGGGGGAAAATATTTGTTAAACACACAATCTAAGTTATTATTACCAGCCGTTCACATTATGTTTCCAAATGTATATTTCTAAATAAGGTTTAAGAATCACAAATGAGATTTGTTTGATTGAATATGCAAAGAAAATTATCTTTTCTTCAGCTACATTAAATACCAAAGCAGGTACTCAAAGATGACTGTAAAATATTTCTCAAACTGAACATTCGCGTAAACTGGCTGCCAAACCCCTTAGAATTTAAAAATGAAAACGCTGGGACAAAAAATAAGAATGAGCCCAAATAGTCAGACGAAAATATGCCCAGATTCATACATTTTTTTTAAAAAGTGGAAAGCGCACGTACAATCTCCGAAACAAGCTAGCAAGATCGTCAGAAGTACACTGAATTGGACCCATGAGAGCCGTTATGTAAACATTATTGCTGCTACCATACAGACAATGCTAGAAGTAAGGGACCAGATCAATACCTGGTTCAACACAACAAGTTCCTATCGAAGACATTTTAAGGGGTTATATTTCGTTCAATTCTAAAAGTGGTGGTATATTTACATGTAGAAGTGTTACTTATTTATTTTACTGAAGCTTTTTTACTGTGGGGATTACATTTTGATGTTTTCGACAGTGACCTCTCTCGATTCCACCTTTGTAAACTGTAAGCCAGTTACAGAGGTAATCATCACAATCGTGTTCAATTCAATCCACAAAAGGTAGTTGACGTTCCTCATTGATTGTAGCGGTTATGTTTATGCCCATTGTCCATGGTAACACTGAAACATATCCACGTCAACTACAGTTGCGTGACACGGAATTGACAAAGTTCCTCAATGATTGTAGCTGTTCTCTTCAAACCCATTGGCCTCGGTCGTTATTTCTCGCATAACGATAAATACATGTTATCCATGTTTCTGTGAGAAGTACAGTGTTATCTGTTATCCCGCTCCAAACACGATGTGATCTGGCGTTCTTCAATATGTTTTATCTTTATGTCTCCACTGAATTACCTGATTCACCTGTACATTCTGATCAAATATAAGATAAGATAATTTATTATCCAGAAGGAAATTACCGTACACGGTTGCTTGTTTACATTGAAAACAATACTCAAAAACATGCGACCACCCAAACACCCATACATATATTATGTCAAATATTACTATACTCCCCATCAAAAGTTTGGACTCACTAGTGTAAATGTAGCCACTGACTTCAGTCAACTGTTCTAAATCAGATTTTGCAAAATATTCCACACTGTTTAAAGGTACTGTTTACACATGAACTGATGTATTGTAAAACAAAGTCGTAACGTTGGAAACATTATTGTCACGAGTTCAATAAATGATGAAAGACAGTGAAAATTGTCGAATTCTTAAGGCAACTTTTCATCCAATCGCAGCTGTTCACATGTCCGATGTTTGCACATTCTTTTCAGCAATTTGATTTATGATCCTCGTGCAATTCATCTGCATAAGGTTTGCAGTTGGTTCAACCACGTTATATTAGTAGTGAAATTCATCTTCGATGTAACTACATGTATATATGCATACATAACACATAGTGAGTACTTCAGGTAAGTCTAATCTTTTGATGGGTAGTATAAAAGAGCTGGCAACAACGCCCAATAAATCAGGTAAATATACATGATAAATAAATAATAATATATTTAAGATTTACTGCTATAGTGGCGACATTATAATTAGCACTAAATGTATATTAAGATTACAGTTTGAAACAATTGATAAAGTTATTTAAAAGGATTTACAAACATTAAAATAATTCCTTTAAAACACTGAATATATCAGTTTCCTCTATCCATATGCGTCAGTGATCATGTAGGTTAGTAATATACCGTTAAGCAATGAACCCAGTTGTTCCTTCTTCCAAATATCATGTAAAAACAAAACAATTCCGAAATAACCCCTTTGGTTGTTTAACGGCGCATCTCAGCAATATTCCAGCTATATGCCGGCGGTCTGTAAATAATCGAGTCTGGACAAGACAATCCGGTGATTAACATCATGAGCATCAATCTACGCAGTTGGGATACGATGACATGTGTCAACCAAGTAAGCGAGTCTGACCACCCCATCCACTCTATTTACAATCCATCCATCCACCCAATTTAGCATCATTCATCAACCCACACAAATTAGCAGTCATCCATCAATCCAACCACTTCAGCAAGCGTCCATCCCATTTACCAACCATCCACCTAATTTAGCAATCATCTATCCATCCAATTTAGCAATCATCCATCAACCCACACAATTTAGCAGTCATCCATCAATCCAACCAATTCAGCAAGAGTCCATCCCTTTTACCAACTATCCACCTAATTTAGCAATCTCCGAAACAAGCTAGCAAGATCGTCAGAAGTACACTGAATTGGACCCATGAGAGCCGTTATGTAAACAAACTCACATGAGTGTATTTGAATCGCTTTCCTTCCCTGGCATTATCCTTACTAAAAACATCACGCGAGAGAACACATTTCTGTTAGCTATGTTATTTGTACTGTCAATATGACGATGTATATTATGCATGATCTTTTAAACAATGCCATAATGCCATAAACGATTTTATTAATCGGGATTGTTTTTTATCAAAGCACCGCAATCACAGAGCGTTCTGACTGGTTTGTCGTATTTTCGCACATAACAAGCATCGAAAGGGGGACGACATTAGAATATGTGTTTAACAAATATTTTCCCTCCTTCTTTTAGTTGTATCAGAGAGGTTTACTTCATTAAGCGAAATAAGTATATGATAGAAAAAGCAATACGATAAACAAAAGCTTCGGTGATATAAGGTACCATTTGAATCAAACAGGGATAGAGTTATCGTTCTTGTTTGAAGTAGTTCTGATGTTCATACGCCTAAATGAAATCATTCAAGTGTGGCACGAGTCGCTATTCGGCCTGTCCCGGAATAACACGAGTTGGTCACGAATGCAAAACTTTATTAGTAGTAACCGCCATCATTATAACTTTTTTATGGAAGACACCACATTATTGCTGCTACCATACAAACAATGCTAGAAGTAAGGGACCAGATCAATACCTGGTTCAACACAACAAGTTCCTATCGAAGACATTTTAAGGGGTAATATTTCGTTCCATTCTAAAAGTGGTGGTATATTTACATGTAGAAATGTTACTTATTTATTTTACTGAAGCTTTTTTACTGTGGGGATTACATTTTGATGTTTTCGACAGTGATCTCTCTCGATTCCACCTTTGTAAACTGTAAGCCAGTTACAGAGGTAATCATCACAATCGTGTTTAAGTCAATCCACAAAAGGTAGTTGACGTTCCTCATTGATTATAGCGGCTATGTTTACGCCCATTGTCCATGGTAACACGGAAATATATCCACGTCAACTACAGTTGCGTGACACGGAATTGACAAAGTTCCTCAATGATTGTAGCTGTTCTCTTCAAACCCATTGCCTCGGTCGTTATTTCTCGCATAACGATAAATACATGATATTCATGTTTCTGGGTAAGAAGTACAGTGTGATCTGGCGTTCTTCAATATGTTTTATCTTTATGTCTCCACTGAATTTCCCCGATTCACCTGTACATGAATCCTGCAAATTCTATGTCATATTTTGCAAAATATTCCACACTGTTTAAAGGTACTGTTTACACATGAACTGATGTATTGTAAAACAAAGTCGTAACGTTGGAAACATTATTGTCACGAGTTCAATAAATGATGAAAGACAGTGAAAATTGTCGAATTCTTAAGGCAACTTTTCATCAAATCGCAGCTGTTCACATGTCCGATGTTTGCACATTCTTTTCAGCAATTTGATTTATGATCCTCGTGCAATTCATCTGCATAAGGTTTGCAGTTGGTTCAACCACGTTTTATTAGTAGTGAACTTCATCTTCGATGAAACCATATATGCATACATAACACATAGTGAGTACTTTAGGTGAGTCTAATCTTTTGATGGGTAGTATAAAAGAGCTGGCAACAACGCCCAATATATCATGTAAATATACATGATAAATAAATAATAATATATTTAAGATTTACTGCTATAGTGGCGACATTATAATTAGCACTAAATGTATATTAAGATTACAGTTTGAAACAATTGATAAAGTTATTTAAAAGGATTTACAAACATTAAAATAATTCCTTTAAAACACTGATGCTTGCTGGGATGAAAGAATTTTGAGCCCTGTTTGGTCTGAATATCGGCGTGCGCAGTCGTCGGCCAGAAGGAAGAAGTTGCAATTAAGGAAATAGGACATGAGTGCTGTCATGTAAATGTTTATGTGCCTTTTTTCAACTTGCTGCTTGTAAATAGTGCCGATATCTTGCATTTTAACTCCAGTAATTGTACTTGCGGTGTTACAAATTTTGGAACGTTCACATCGATTTTGAACAGCCATACCCCCATACCAGCAATGTACATTGGAAAACTTAAATACTTTGAATAAACGACTGGTACAATAATGATGATATGGTTGAGGCAATCTTAAAATAACGAAGACGATGTAAAAAGTATAGTCGTTTTAACCCGCTCAGTCACAATGGCTTCCACAAAAAACGGAAGTCGGACAACTGGTAGTCTGGACTGTGAATTTTGTGTACTCCTCCGATAAATGTAAATTGGCACGGTTCCCACGAACGAAAGCTATGATAACACAAATTCCATTTAGAAATATGTCTATTACACTTTCTTAGTAAAGTACAGATTCTAGAATGTTTGCTGGATTAAGTCCCTTCGAACCCACACCCTGAGGGTAACGTATGTTACATTTGATCACTTTGTAAATGGCATTTGTGTATTCATAACTGTACTCATGTTCGAATATATCAGTTTCCTTTATCCATATGCGTCAGTGATCATGTAGGTTAGTAATATACCGTTAAGCAATGAACCCAGTTGTTCCTTCTTCCAAATATCATGTAAAAAACACAATTCCGAAATAACACCTTTGTTGTTTAACGGCGCATCTCAGCAATATTCCAGCTATATGGCTGCGGTCTGTAAATAATCGAGTCTGGACAAGACAATCCGGTGATCAACATCATGAGCATCAATCTACGCAGTTGGGATACGATGACATGTGTCAGCCAAGTTAGCGAGTCTGACCACCCCATCCACTCTATTTACAATCCATCCATCCACCCAATTTAGCATCATTCATCAACCCACACAAATTAGCAGTCATCCATCAATCCAACTACTTCAGCAAGCGTCCATCCCATTTACCAACCATCCACCTAATTTAGCAAATATCCATCCACCCAATTTAGCAATCATCCATCAACCCACACAATTTAGCAGTCATCCATCAATCCAACCAATTCAGCAAGAGTCCATCCTTTTTACCAACTATCCACCTAATTTAGCAATCATCCATCCATCCATCCACCCAATTTGCCAATCATCCATCCATCCAGCCACCCAATTTGCCAATCAGCCAGCCAGCCAGCCACCCAATTTACTAATCATCCATTTATGCATCCATAGGACCAGGCGTGTAACGGGATCTGGTGGATCTGACTTTGTTACATGTTATTGTATCCAAGTAGCGTAGATCTATGCTCATGATGGCACCCACAAGATCGTCTTAGTCATTTTAGACCGCCATGACAGATTGTAAATATTACATGGTTTTCTTTTAAAGAACGAAGAACTTTCAGCCATAACCTATTTATCAATGTTCCTGTAATCCATTATTTACCTATTTATCCTTAATCTTACACCTGCCTAGTATCTACTATCTATAAATTATCTATCATCTATTTAAGATCTACAGGTTTCGCCCATCATATGTCTGTTATATTATCATCAATCTCCTATCATCCATATATATCTATTATCCTCCACCTCCATCATCCTATCTATCTATCATTTAGCAGGTATCTGCGATTTACTAATAAAATAAACTCACCCACTCCCAAACAGGCAGGCTGCCCGCCGTCGCCGCATGTAGAGCGCAACGTCACAGAAGAAACGTGACGTCATAGCCTTGTTCATGACGTCACGTCACCATGACAAAGTGATATTTCGACCTAGGGCATCGTATGAAAAATAAGAACCCCGATATGTTTGCCCTCGTAGGTAATAAATATTATTAATGTACTTCCCATATTTCTATGTATCATCTATATATCATTAATATATATCATCGATCTTTTCAGACACATTTCACTTGGCACATGAAACACTGAGTGACGTGAAATAAGTTTTATTTTCGCTCATAGTTTGACGAGATGACACATCATGTTTGACACTTATTATATAACCCAATTTAAAAAAATTATAACTAAACAATATAAATCCGAGAAAACGCGATTAACAAAATCCAAATTCTCCCAACTGTCCACTAAAGACGGTTAACATCTTTGTTCAGGCACACAGATAAGACATAGTTCGGTATTCGAAAAGACATAAAAATCCAGACAACATATGTTATTTATCAGATGCTAACCTATTATTGTCATTGTATGAATAGATCAACAGTCATAATATAATCCATCAAACGACCCTGTTGTTCTCAACGTACACGTCAAAACTCAATTCTGGCGCACGAATACATAAGAACAACAAACATGGCGAGAAGAGAAGAGAGTAATTGAGAAACAAATAAACGATCTTCTGTATCAGTTAAAGCGTAACTACAGGTAATGACCTTTTTCAAATGGAGGTGAAATAAAGTCACGTGTACATAAAATGTTATGAAACAACACATAGCTCAAAGTGTTCTGAACAGAGGGTTAGCTCGCACGTAGCACGTGGACTCTTCACAACACAGTGAAGTACAGTTCACTCACATTCCCACTCGCTCAGAGCAAGTTCACTGAGTCACTCAGCGATCAGCTGATCCGGACGATCTTTCTCCGCCGAGAATGGTCATCGATGGGTTCGGCCCGGGAAAGCGAAATTTCAATATTCCATATTTCCAGTAGAGCGAAAATCAAAGTTGTGCTAGAAGTGCCGCGAAAGCGAATTGCTATGAAAACATCGGATTACCGTACTTCAGATTAGCGCGCGACCCCAATACTCGATCTGTGAGCCTCTTAACTGAGATGAAGTTTCAGTTGTTTGAAGTTTCAGGACTTGATCTATTACAAGTTTAAGCATCGGTGTAGGAAAACCCTCCGAGAAAAGAAGTATTGGAGCTGTGTAGTAAAATTCATTTGTTGTTTGACTTATTTGACTATTTTATTTAATCCACCGTGCAAAGACAGTTGTTCGAGCAGATCTCACTAATTCTCAGTTAACTGGGACAATTTCTGTTGCCGACATTTTGGCTGTCGGTGCTTTCAAATTTGATATTAAATCAAGGTGTATCTGTGCAGGTATTCTAAATAACACTGAATTTACAATAAGTATTAACCTTCTTTAAGACTGCAGTAAGTTATATTGTAGCGTCAGAAGCAAACATCTGGTTCTATGTCGGCATTTTTGATATGTCGGTAGCGCGTATTCTTTGCTTTGAAGCTTGCTGCAAAATTTTATCCAACGGAAGTTTTGTTATATTTAGTGTCATGAAAGAACCAACATACATATGGGTTAATTCGCCCATGTTAGCATGTCGGTGGTTCACCAACCGAAACCCCAAACCCACGTTTATATTATGTCGGTAGAGTCAGAGTAATTTATGTTACGTTATGTTTGTTTACAGCTTTTCTTGTGGTCAATCATCGCACAGACCCACAAGATAATTTTTCTTGATTGGCCTGTTCATCTATTCTCGATATCTAAAAACATATAGTTTCGTTAACATCGATATTTTTCAAAGCTGCGTAAAAATAAACTCACTCGCTCACTCAGCGTTGGAGTGACATCCCAGGCACGTGGTTGCGCCGCACTGTGCGCACGTATAAACCATTGGGTGTGTTTGGGTGTTACGTTTTATAGTAAGTGAGCACTATTTCAGCCATATCATGACGAGAACAATTAATTATCAGTAAAGATCAATAATATCAGAACCTATAAAACTGTTTACCATGAACAGTAAAACTACTATTGTATCAAAGATAGAGATATAAAACTAGCATTTAACTAAAACTTATACTATAATGCAAGACAATACAGTATAAAACGGGCTATATAGATCACCAGCAACTGTGGGTAGATCACCACACTAGAGAGACGCCACGTTCTATAAAACATAAACGT